CTTAAGTTTTCTGACATCCATTACGTTTTGCATGTCAACCAAAAAAAAAAAAAGAAAAAACATAGGAATACAAAGAGAACATAAAATAGAAGAGTAGGAAATAAAACAACAATAATATTCACCAGAAGCTTCACAGAAATACATATCAATTCAGGCATATACTGTGAAATAACACTGCATCTTGTTACTGTACCGTGGCAGACAGGATGGCTTTTTTTTAAATCACTAAAATATAGCACACAATCTTGCTTAATGTTGGATTTTTTTTTCTCGTTATCACTTTAAAAAAAAAAAATGGATTGTCCGTTTTCTTTCGTCTGAATTCGCAAACAAGAAAAGACTCACAGCACCACCAGCTTTTACACCGTGAAACAAACACTTTTCATTTTAATAGTCTGGCTTCCCTACATTTACCAGAATAGAGATCATAACTAAAACACAGGTGAGCCTTTCTTTGTTGACTGAAACTAACAGGAAAAAAAAAACTAAACAAAAAAAAACTGCAAGATGCACAGAATTGCATAAAAACTCCCCTTTCTGTTCCATGTTTCACCTCTGGACAAAACTCCACGGTGAGTTTCTATTACTGGCAAACGACAACGCCTAGTAGAAAACTGGCAGCCCTCGTGTGCAATAGGCTGAAAGGCCGACGGAGGGCGGGGTTCACGCTGCGAGTCTGAGTTAACATCCGGGAAGAGAAAGAGAAACAGAAACTGAACTGATGTGGAGGAAAGTCCTTTATATGAAGGAACCAACACATGAGCACAGATCGATCATGTGCCTTCATTGCTAATCAGATTTTAACTCTCGGTTCCCATCTGACTTCCTGCTGATATGAGGGGTTAAAAAAAAAAAAAAAAAATCCATCAGTCACTTAAGCTTGAACTGAGAGTCAGAAATTCCCTCGACTCTTCATGCTTTCAGTTTGAGAGAAGAAGAGTGACGACGATCTCAAGCGACATTATTTACATAAATTTGGTGCAACGTCATTCCTAAACCACAAAGATGGCTGCCGCACAGAAGGTTTCTGCAATCGGCGCGATGACGATGATGTGCACATACACCTCTAGCGGCAGGGGAAGCCCATGTTTTTCAGCACGATGCAGAGGTCACTGGTCGTGTAGCATATTTTCTACCGGATGCAGCAAAAAAGTGACTTTAATCTAGACTGACAGAGGTTTGGCGAGCCGTGTTGTTTTACTTTAAAGGGGACTGTTATGTAAAATTGGCTTCTTCGTTTGAGCTTTACATCATGTTATAATGTTATTCCCTCATCAAAAATAAACATGGAGCGTTGCTTTGATTGTTTGGTGCATGTCTGAGAAATCCTTTCACCTCCACCGTTCAGAGGAGCCGGAGCGAACGCTCTCGCCGAGCGCCACCTTTTCCATGCCGCTCCTCCTCGAGGCTGCAGCCTCCAAGCCAAACTTCTGCCTCCTCAGCTCCTTCAGACTAGCAGCAGCATACTAAAATAATAAACCTTCAAACAAATGATGCATTTATATGTTTTACCCTATGTTGCAATTTACAAATTCTTGGATTTCGTAGTCTGGAGACTCGTTTTTCCTTACTGGTGCAGTGGTCTTGCCTCTGATGGAGTCACTGGTGACTTAGCCCCATAGCTGTGGAAGAACAGTCTGCCATTTACTGGAGAGGAAAAGAAATCCTTGCTGCAGCGTTTGTGAGCTGCTGCATGATTTTGTTGCCCACACAGGAGCTCTGTCAGTGGGCTGAGTCTGTGGGTAACTGTGACTAAAGTCGGAATGTGCAATGATCTAGGTGTAACTGTGCCGTGTTTTAATAAATTAACTTTCGTTGTTGTTGTTCTTATAAATGGCTTGTGCAAGAAAAGCTAAGTGTGTTGGTGTGAATGTGTGTGAAGAAGAGTCCAGTGAGGAGAGAGTCAGACGTCAGTGCTGTAGGGGCGCGGCGGGGGAGGGAAAGCGTCCGACGGGTTGTAGTAGCTCAGAGGGGACGAAGTCGGGGGGTTGACGGGCAAAGGGAGAGACGCTGACGGGTTTTCGTAGTAGAAGCCCAGCCGCTCCCCTCCGTTACGCATGTCGTCTGTGAATCCAGAGGGGACGGGGTACGGCGAACACGAGGGGCAGGGGCTGTGGTGCGAACCCGAGTCCAGCTGGTCCAGGGAGACGGGCGTGATGTCGGTCCCGTCCATGGCCAGGGCGTTGCAGGCGTTGCAGGGGAAGTGAGACAGAGGATCCGCTCCCGCCACCGAGCCCACGTCCTCCTCGGACTCGTTCTTCTTACAGCAGTAATACTGGCGCAGGTCGACAGAAAACACAGCGAGGGAGAGAGAGAAAGAGAGAGAGAAAGAGAGAGAGAGGGTCAGACACTTTCCAAGGATGTTTTATGCAGCGAGACTCGGCGGCTGTCGAAGAAAAAGTCGGAAATTAGCTCGTTCATTTTCATTCGAAGATTATTTTTGGGGAAGATAAGCTTGTGTGTTGAAGAAAACATGAACGCAATCAATTAAGATTTTTAGTATCGAGATTCAGAAATTATTGTAATAATCCCACTTTTTCCTCTTTTAGTGTTTAATGAACATCACGACGCACAAACACATTAAAAGGCTGATATAAAATTTAAAAATATGTTTCTGAGATGGGTTCATTGGCAATACGACTGGTTAGGACACTAAAAAGCTAAAAAAAAAAATGTATAATCTTTTACTGTAGTAACAATCTCAGACTGAAAAATAGTGAAAAATCCACCTTGTAAATAATACTATAAGATATAAAACTAACAAATTCACCCCTAGCAATCCCTTTTTATAATCATAACATTAATATTTAATTCATGCATATATTTTTTTCTTTTATGGGGACGTCTAATTAGCACATTAATGTTGTAAGTTTGCACATAATGCAGAATAATAAGGCAGATAATAATCTATAAGGTTTATTCTCAGGGAACAAGAAAACCAAGCAAGTAAACCTTT